GAGGTCCCCTCCCACCTTCCAGCTGCACCCTCCTGTCCTTATCGGTGCTGAGTAATGCTCAGCCCCGGGGGGAGGCAGAGATCACCGAGGCGGGTGACCCTGGCCAGGTCGGGGGAAGAAAACTCCAGCGGACAGAGTTGAGTGACATCCTCAGAATAGGTACCTGGTCTGCAATGCTTCCCTTCTCTTTTAAGGTGCCCTGGCCCCCCTTCCCTGCCACTGTACAAAACTTTTGTACACGTTTTATTGTGTCGCCTTGTTTGGGTCACTTGGAGAACGGTGACAGCAGACCAGAATGACTTAATTTGACAGTAGCCTTAGCTGCGTATAGGCCTCCGTGGAGGGCGTGGTGCTAAATATTTTTCCGATGTTGCAGCAGCCTCTTGCCCCACCCTTGAAAGTTATTCTTTGGAAAATGTGGGCTGTTGCTGGCGGACTTGTAATGTGTGGTTAGATGACTGCCCCACACAGAAGTAAGCCTATTTAAAGTCTCAGAAGTAATGAAGCCTTTTAAAGTTTAAGTTCAAGGTACATTGGTCCCACTCTATTAATTGGCCAGAATACTCTTAAGTCCTACACGTATACATAGCATGGGGGGGTTTCAACTTCTCTGCAGTTTTGAATAAACAGACTCTGGAAAACTGAACCACAGTGAGGTTTGCTCTGCAACTTTGTTTTCTTAAAATTTGCTGTTCATACAAAAATAGTCTTGGCATAAGCTCTGCCAGTGCTTCAGAAGTATGTGCCGCAAGGGTTCTATGAGTTCTGATCATTAACTTTTCCTTAACCAACTCTGTAGTTGGCTGGTTTTCATAAAGTAAGTCTATGTGGTTATTGAGAGATTTGGTATATCCAGTATTGATGTAAACTTTCACCTGTGCTGGTCTATGTGTGGTACTCCATGAAGTCTCGTGGATAGAGGTCCTTATAAATCCTCAACTCTATGTCTTCTGAATCCACTGAAGCTTATTGTCTAAAAGTTAAGTGAGTTGCTCTTTGTGTATTATTTAATTTTTTTTAAACTTCTAAAAAGTTTTGAACTTTGGGTTTGACTGTGAGTTTCCAATTTAAATCTTATTTACTTAAAATCTTGAAATCTCAGATGATTGGGGAAAGCACATCTCAGATAATTGTATGTGCATAGATTTTACAAAGATGATAAAGTCTGAACTGAAGAATACTAACATTTAATAATTAAAAGAAACTATACCTAGTACTTTCTACTAAGCTAGAGAACATATGTTCTAAAGCTGTTTCCTCTCCTTTTAGCTGATAGAAAAATATTAAAATGACTCTTATTTGACAAGATCACCATACTGCCTTTATATGTACACAGATGGATATGTAGCATATACATAGCAACTATATTTAGTAAGGGTTGTCGTAAACATGACATGGATGCTCATTAAAATAGTCCTAAATGAAGTGCTGCTCTGAAATAGTTTGGTTTCCTGTCTGTAAAGTAGAATATATCATTTAGATTGTCTCCTTTCTTACCTAGTTTCTATTTTTAATCCCTTAGTCATGAGAATAATCTTCTCTTCCAATGAGTTTCCCTCTTACAGCTTGTTTTGTGGTTATGAGCTGTGAGGTGGAAAGGCACAGATTTCATCACCATGCATGAGGATAGCAACATGCATTTTCTGTTTGTGTAACTGATAAGTGCTCTCAATGTTGTTGAAAGAGCTGGTTTCTCCTAAGTAAAATGAAATATGGAGAGCAGAAGATGACCCATTGGGATTTAGGAAGGGATGTATGTTATTTATGTTTTTACTTAAAACAAAATAATTTTAAAATTTGGCCTTCCTAATCTGGAAAAGCATGAGGGCCTTTAGTCACTGAACTTGTCAAGCCAGTCTTGTTTTTTTCTAGAACACAGGCCTACACATGTAAATAGGTTGATAGCCAGTACCAGTTGGTTCTCTTTGACATATGATATATAGAAGCTTTTAAGTACATTGGAGATTTACATCATTCAGTCTTAATTGAATTAGCCATCAACTATGCCAAGTGACTAAAAGATTACTTCAAAGAAATTGCAGATTGAAGCCAGTATTAATTATGCAGGTACAGTAAACATTGAGAAAGTGGCAAAGCTGACTGCTTTTCATAGCATTGGCTATAAAGTTAAAATAATAATAATAATAGGATGTCAGAAGCCATAGAGTGCCATGTTTTAAGATATTATTTGAAATTTTACATAATAACTGCTGTTAATAGTCAATTTCTTCCTTAGGGTATATTGTTCTTTGAACGATTAGCCAGTGGTCCGAGGAGGTCATTCTAATTACCAAGATGTGAAAAAAAAGTATTTTCCTGTACATGCAGGCAAATGGTCTTGAGTTGTTTTGTTCTGTTTTTCCTTTGCCTTAGTTTTTAAAAACTTTTTGGCTCAGAGGTTAAAAGCATTGCACAAGCAGCTTGTGTGATTCCACCAGTAATTCCAGCCCCTGAAGGCAAAGATGAGGGATCCCAGGAGGAAGCTGGCTAGCTAGACTGGCCATGGTGGCAAACTCAAGGATCAGTTGAGAGTCCCTGCCTCAATGGATAGGTGACGAGAATGGGAAGAAGACTCCTCAGATCAACCTTTGGCCTCAACATGCACGTGCACCTGAACACACACATGCCTATATACCTGAACATACAGGTGCATGCACACCTGAACACACACATGCCTATACACCTGAACATACAGGTGCATGCACACCTGAAACAACAAAGGCCTACACACCTGAACATACAAGTGCATGCACACCTGAAACAACAAAGGCCTACACACCTGAACATACAAGTGCATGCACACCTGAAACAACAAAGGCCTACACACCTGAACATACAAGTGCATGCACACCTGAAACAACAAAGGCCTACACACCTGAACATACAAGTGCATGCACACCTGAAACAACAAAGGCCTACACACCTGAACATACAAGTGCATGCACACCTGAAACAACAAAGGCCTACACACCTGAACATACAAGTGCATGCACACCTGAAACAACAAAGGCCTACACACCTGAACATACAAGTGCATGCACACCTGAAACAACAAAGGCCTACACACCTGAACATACAAGTGCATGCACACCTGAAACAACAAAGGCCTACACACCTGAACATACAAGTGCATGCACACCTGAAACAACAAAGGCCTACACACCTGAACATACAAGTGCATGCACACCTGAAACAACAAAGGCCTACACACCTGAACATACAAGTGCATGCACACCTGAAACAACAAAGGCCTACACACCTGAACATACAAGTGCATGCACACCTGAAACAACAAAGGCCTACACACCTGAACATACAAGTGCATGCACACCTGAAACAACAAAGGCCTACACACCTGAACATACAAGTGCATGCACACCTGAAACAACAAAGGCCTACACACCTGAACATACAAGTGCATGCACACCTGAAACAACAAAGGCCTACACACCTGAACATACAAGTGCATGCACACCTGAAACAACAAAGGCCTACACACCTGAACATACAAGTGCATGCACACCTGAAACAACAAAGGCCTACACACCTGAACATACAAGTGCATGCACACCTGAAACAACAAAGGCCTACACACCTGAACATACAAGTGCATGCACACCTGAAACAACAAAGGCCTACACACCTGAACATACAAGTGCATGCACACCTGAAACAACAAAGGCCTACACACCTGAACATACAAGTGCATGCACACCTGAAACAACAAAGGCCTACACACCTGAACATACAAGTGCATGCACACCTGAAACAACAAAGGCCTACACACCTGAACATACAAGTGCATGCACACCTGAAACAACAAAGGCCTACACACCTGAACATACAAGTGCATGCACACCTGAAACAACAAAGGCCTACACACCTGAACATACAAGTGCATGCACACCTGAAACAACAAAG